AAACACAGTAATGTTGTTGTAATACACATACAAAAGCGGTGAAAGCTGACTTAGAAGGCGATTCTTAAAATGACTTCAGTTCTTTTGACTTCAGTATCTATTTATGCTAAAACACTTGAAGAAGAAATGTGCTCCTTTACATAAGCACGGCTGGCTCTGCAGGCTGCTTGTGGTTTAATTTTTCATCGCAATAATGGCAGCTTATATGTGCTGCCAAGAGACCATTACTTTTTCTTGTGCACTCGGGCTGTTCCAGTGAGATACCTTTAAGGTGAGAAAATGCATATTTAACAAATCCTGTCATCGCTCCCTATATAGTGAGAGAGCTTTGTGTGTGAACTTCTTACCCCATTCCACCAGGCATAATTGTTGATATTTCTATGGAGCAAAATTTAATTGGGGAAAAAACAGAAGGAGAAAATAAAGCCTAATACTGGAATCAGATGTTATTTACAAGGAGAGACTTTAAAATTGGCTTATGTAAATAATAAAGATTACTTGATTGTAAATACTGTAGTATGTGTACAAAAAGTGTTTTGCCTTCTGCAAGGAAATCGATGGGAAGGTTCATCTGATGTTGTTAGAAACTTATTAGAAAATGGGTTATGCCATAATAAAACCTTGATCCTTTGATTTTTTTGGGGGGGTTTTATCCCCTAATGATGTTCCCTTCAAAGCACCAACTGCAGCTTTACCTCTGCATCCTTTGCCTAATGGGAATGCATCAAAGAGCAGCACATGCTGGGAGTAGTGCAGGGCTATGCATGTGCTATTTGACCAGCCAGTGGCTTCCAAACAGAATTTATATAGCTATGTTATTTCAGTGTACTCTTTTTAATTTGTCATATGAGTAAACTGGTGAAGGTGGAGGAGGATCTGAAAATCCTGGCTTTGGTGACTCTTGCTAGCTTACCTTTTACAACAGAAACTACCAAAGGTGTCACTCTCTTTCCCCCCCCCTCCCCGTTCCCTTTTTCTATAGCAAACAACAACCCAAACAAACAAATTAAGAGAACTTTGATTAAATAATAAGTACGGGTAGTAATATCTTCATTAAAAACTGAATTACTGTATGCATTGCCCATAAAACTTTTCTAAATATTGATGTAGAAGGTTGGTTACATTTCTTGATATGTTCAAATCCAGGGCAGAGGGGAAGTGAAGACTTAAAGAACAGCTTTGTGAACATTGCCTTCAGTATATTTTTCTGAATACTCTGTTCTGATGTTCTTATCAATACATCAAAATTAGTAATTGGATTTAATTGCTCAGCAATCCTTGGCATCGCTTAGTCCAATGATTGATTCCTCTTACCAGCATTACTTTAGTAATATATCCGTTTGATCCCAAAAGAAGAGATATTTTTAAAAAGTTTTTGTGAAAACTTCTCTTCTTACTGTTAGGGTTCAATAAAATGTTCAGCTGCGGCTGAATTGGAAGGGAAGCACACGTTCTTGTAGCTTGTATCTATGTTGGAAAAAAAATTTCAATATAATAAATCTTAGCTGTTGTTGAAAACTCTGTGCTCAGTGGGAATCCATGTTTCCTCAAGTTGTTTCCAAATTTTTGCCTTACTGCACTTTTGAAAACTTTTTTTGCAACCAGCTTTACCCCCCCCACCCCCCTTTGGTGAGTTAGACAGGGGTTCTTGGGAAAGATGGGTGATGGAAAACTCGGGCTCATATATGCCTGAGTCAGTACAGTAATCTTATGGGTTGTAATTGGCGTCAAATTGTCTTTGCTAGAAGGCATGTTGGTTTGCCTTGCTTAGCTGTAACGCAGGGCTTTCCAATGGCTCTTGTCTTTCCGTTTGACACAGTTTGTTCCTTTATTCCCACTGCTGCGTTGTTTTGGTTCTTTCTGTCCCCTCTCCTCTGGCTGTTAATCCGCAACAACAGCGGGAGCGGGTGAAAATGATTTGTGTGAGAAAGTTTTGAGTGCTAAGCAACTTTATGTAAAATTAAAAATTATATGGTTTAGCCTTGAGAAATTATGGGCTTAATCCAAGTTATTTGTGTTAATCCAAGTATATAACTGATACTATAACAGTCTGGGATTTTCCTTGCAGCACATTGGTAGATACCATAGTAGGAGTTGCAAACATTTCTCTTCTATTTAAGCTATGAAAAATGTGTTATTAATCTTTAAATAAAACAATATAATTCTTTGTGCGTTTCTGTGGAGAGCTTTTAAGGCTATGTACATATTAAGAGCTACCCTCATGGGAAGACAATGCTCTTGCATAATTCAGATCAAAGCACATATGAGAAATCATATTTAGTGTCAAGTGTGGAAGCACTCAAAAGAAGTGTTGGCATATGTTCTCCTGTGAAAGTCAAAATTAGGAGGTTTTAACCTAATGATTACAGCTAACCTTTTTCAGAGGTGTTATTGCCTCAGTCGTTGCTCCAGGTGGACCTGCTGAGGGGAAAAGTCAGAACTCTGAAAGGTAGGACCCTTGCCTTCCTTGTCACTGGGGCTCTAAGGTAGGACCCTTGCCTTCCTTGTCACTGGGGCTCTTATTTTAGTGCCACTGTAGAGAAATAGGTTTAAGACCCTGCTCTGTATGAGTTAAGCTACGTAGGAGTGAGTGTTTCTCAATTAGGTGCCTCCACTAGAATAGAAATTCACATACTACTCATTCTGCTCATGAACTTGGAAGGCAGCATCCCTGCGTGTCTCGTGGGTTTTATGCCTCTGGGAAACACATCAAGTTGACCCAGCTGCCAGCAAATTAATTCATAGCTTTTTAGTAAAGAGTTGGAACAATTTTCCTGTCCCTTGTTTGATGAAGGTCTTATGACTATACTTTCTCAAATAGTTTCCATACTTTTTTAGTATTTACTTATCAATTAGTAGCTTTAATAGATACTGTGTAATATCAGGTCTTCGATCCTTCTGTTGCATCATTTGCCATCACTACTCTTGCTCTTGTTTATCAAGCTGTTTGCTTGATGGTCATACTGGCAACAAAAATATCTATAGAGTTGAACATCTCGGTATAGGATAAGCTAGCTGTCTGTTCTGTGTTCAGATGAAAAAATGTCACTTAGCTCTGGGACATAAGAATATTTCATAGTCAGTGCTCTTATTTTTAATACTGGCACTTCTGTGTTTAACTTTGTAGCTGTGCTGGTGATGTTTTTTTCTTAAATTCAGCATGCCTTGCGGTCATGCCAGAAGTGGCCTAATTTTCTTGAGGCTGTATTGTTTGAATGCACAGTGTCCCAGTATGTAAAGATACACTGGCCTTTGGTTATTTGGGAGTATTGAGAGTTTCAGCACTGTGTTTACTTTCATAAGATACAGGGAGAAGCCTCAAGCTGATGAGGAAGAGAGGGAAGTGGAATGTCATAAGCATCTGTTTTTGACAACTCCATGATTTATAATTTCCCCAATAAAAATATCACCACCACAATGCCCATTGCAGTGAACTCGTAAAAGGCTTTTCAAGAGCTGTGACTGCATTTGGGAATTTTTCTGCAAATGCAACTAGAAAGATGTATGTGCTTTCTCACATATATCCATAGGCAGTTGCCCAGGTACTTCATTTATTAATGAGCGTATTTTACAGTGTGAAGATAAGCTCTTCTAGCTTCTGTTTCTGTAATATTAGCATGCTAATCCAAAATAGCAGATTCTTTCCAGGAATTCTGTGGGTTTGTATAATTTTTTTTCTGAAAGGTCAGGGCATTCGGTAAAAGGGGAAACATATGCCAAGGTGTGTTCACACTTGGAAATAACTGAGAGAATGCTAGATTGTCTTGGAAGAGAAATTCTTGTAGCAAGGGGGGGGGGAAGGAAAAAAAATCCTTATAATGAATTGCTAGATCATTAACCCTAAATCTGCCTGGCCCTCAAGAAAAGTCTAGATACAGCTGATACTAAACATGTTCCATGACTACAGAAACTGCTGTGAGAAGATTCCTGATTTAGATATTTCTGGTAGCATGATCTGCACAGCCAAATCTGGATAATATCTTCCTTTTTTGGATATGAGTTATCTGATGCAAAGATTGAGTCACTGCATTTCCTCTTGGATTCCTTTTTTATTATTATTTCTTTTAAGGGGGAGAGGGGATATCAATAAATAACCTTCTCTAGACTGTGTCTACCTTGTCACCCATCTCCTTTATCTACCACAGGATAGTTTTGGTGTGGGTCAGGGTATTCTGGTGAAGCTTTCCTTCTTCCTTCCCCTTTTTCCTAATAGCTCTTGTTAAGCCAGAGCTTTGCTCACGTGTGTAAAATGTAGTAGTCCCTGAATAGCTCTAACATGTTATTTCTGTGACTGGGTCACTTGCTGTTCTGTAATTATTTCATGGATACTTTATTTGTGGATTTTCTAGCATCTATGTGTCTGCCTCAGCATGTCTGTCTAATGAATGTGCAACTGCCCAGCGTATTTGCAGCTGACTTGAAACTCATTCTTACTGTAACGTCGACTTGGTTTTTGTGATGGGAAATACAACACTATTAAACCACTTTTAATTCTTTTTTTTTCTTATAAGCTCCTTTCAGTTCTGGCAAACTTTATTAGAAACTGAGATTCTGTTTCAAATGAGCTACTATTTTACATGATACAAAGCTAAAAATCTTAGTCTTAGATGTTGATTTTTTTCCATTTGTCTTCTGGCAGCTTAGTGAAGTATTGCATAAGCATGGGCAGATAACTTCACCGGTTGCTCCAGCATTAAATTGCTTTATTTAGCTTCTTATACTGGTAATTTGTTATAGGATAAAATGACCTTGCTAAATGTTCATGCAAAACATTTTGTTACTCATTTGTCAATAGCACTGGGTCCTTTGCATCTAAATGCAAAATAATTTACAAGTAAGAATCAAATGGTCGCTCATATCTTCCTATGTGTTTTGAGGGACTGAAGCCATTTGGCTTTAACAAGAAACATGAGTTGCTTTCTTATACATTGGTAAAACATTTTCTGGCTTTGAAAACACTTAAAGTTTGAAGAGAAGTGTTGTGTGTTTTATAAAATCAGATTCGGTAGCCCTGGAACCAGAAGCAATGTATCTGCATCATCCTGCCTGTGTGCACAGGCTGAGGATCCCTGCTGAGACACGGACTTTATTAGCTCAAGTACAGATCATCTAACTCAGCTGTGCGTCTTCCCAGGCAAAGCGTGCATCTATGCACAGCACCACGCAGATGGGTGAAGGCAGTGTTTACGCTGTGAAATGCAGCACTCTGTTAGAAATGGCTTTGAAGACCTGGCTTGACGTGAAGCCCTGAGGATGTCCCTTTGGAGTTCTGTCAGACGAGAAGCTTCCCTTTGTAGCTGGTGGAAAGAAAGAATTGACAGATCTGAAGACGGGGTTAAAGCTGCAGTTCTTAACACTGGTTTGTAATGTGATTTTTAGAAATATCCAGTTATGCTGTTGACTGATCCTGCTCGTGAGCTATACAAATTAGATTTGAAGACCCTTCTCTAGAAAGCTCCAAAAAGCACAGCAGAACTTCATCTCTTACTGTAAGGTCTTCAGGCAGAACTACTAGTATTAGCTAGTAGTGGGACAGTAGTTTGGCAATGTCTGGGTTTTGGCTATATTGCTTTGGGTGTTCTATCTTCACCAAAACATTACAGATTGAGAACAGGATTTCATGTCCAGAAGTGGAACAAATGCAAATAAACTGTTTCTGCTGCTTCTAGTGGGATTGAAATGTTTGTAAATTTTCTGCAGAACTCTGCATTTTTCCTCCTTTGCTTTGAAGCCTGCCAGGTAACCGATCTATTGTTTCTGCTATGCTTACCTTGGAAAACAGCCAGCCTGTAAGCATAGCTCACTAGAAAACTACAATTTATGTGGCTTTTAAAGTTGTTATAAACATGTGATGTTTGCTGATGTGTAAGTATGCTTCAAAGTGCTGTGTATTCCTGTTACAAAGGCAGGCGTGTAAAATTTCAAGTTCTCTAAAGTATGGAATTTTCCAATGAAGTGGCTAGAACATTTTTAACGTTATTTGCAAATGTTTTTTTTTCTTTGATATTTGTCTTTTTCTTTGATATTTGATACATTTTAAAAAGCCTGAGGCAGTTGCACAGGCTCAAAGGCTTGGCAGAGTTATACGCAACTGATAATAGCAGTTTATCGTTGTTGTTATTAACAAAAAATAAAATAGTGACATAAAGTTGTCTGTAGGCACTGTTCATCTCTCGTATAAGTAGTGTTTTGACAGAATGACTTACATGGTAGAGAAATGAAGATAAGTCTCTAGATTTTCTTTTCAGCTCTTTAACAATTCTGAGCAGATAAAGTCCATAATCTGATTTTGCAGTTGATTCTTGGTGGAGACTCACTGGCTTCAGTAAGTTTGCTGCTGGGACTTTTAGCGCGGGGCCTGCTGAAGTTTTATAGCGTGTAATGTGCTACTAAGAAAAGGAATAAAGTAGTTTAGCAATTGCCATTGTTTTAGAGGTGATGGCTGTCATAGTATAAAAGATATTTAAAAAAAAAAAAAGCTGCTTTGATTTTAAAAAAGACCAAACCAAACCCATGCTGTAATATTACCAATCCAGGACCAAATTAATTTGTAGCATACGTTATAACTGGAAAAGGAGGAATTATTTGGGTTAATATAGTCTGTTCTAAAACTGAGAGAGGTTTTCGTTAAGGATGGTCACAAATACAAAGCTCTCTCTGAAACTTTCTCCAAGTTGCATACCTTGCTTCGGGCCTCTGAAAGTCTTTTTCCATCCCCCCTTTTTATTTTCGTAATTGCACTCTTCAGAATAATATGAGTTAGCATAAGTTTTCTGTCATGCTGTTACTATGCCAGTGGTGGTCGGTGTTTTTTATAGCTTGTTGAACAGCCTCTTTGAATTTTCTTCATACACATGTCCTGTATTTCTGTTGAGTTGTTAACCCAATGACAAAATTCTATCTTGATGGGGGGGTAGAAAAGCCATCCTTACATAGAAGGGAGTTGTGAGTTACTGTTTTGTAAGTAGGCTGAGAAAAGAGTTTATCTTGGAATGGTGAACACAGCAGTTTTTAGAACCTTTGAAATTCATTTTTTTTTTTTTAAATTGTACGTTCAGGATCTGTTGCCGTGCGTATCAATAACTTGAATAGCTTCCACTGTTCTCAGGGAGTGATTTTGGTTCAACGCCAGTGGCAGAGATTTTGATACTCCACTGAACACACTATTAGTTTTGGTTTTGAGTAACTGTCCTTCAGCTTGAAGTCCTTGATTTCTGTTCCCTGGCTGAGGATTTTATTGTGAAATAGGTACTTCTAAAAGTATGAATGCTGCTCTTCCTCTCTAAGAATGGCTGTGAACGAAAGTGTTGGGGCACTGTTATGCGGGGGGTGGGGTGGGCGCGGGAAGTGGGGAGGGAAATGATTTTTTTTTTTTTTGGTTTGTTTGTAACATCTCCAATTACAAAGTAGAACTTTTTATCTGTTTTTCATAATTTTCACTTGGATTTATTATTTATCAAAGTTGGTCAGCTTTTTGCTGTTACAGGCTTTTAGAACCAGAGGACTTAAGATTTGCCAGCTATCCACCACAAGTAGCTTTTTTTTAAGTATGGGTCTAGAGCTGACCTGCAGGTTTTACCTGATACACCTGATAAATCTCCAGAAATGACCACTGCTCTGTGTTTGTTGCAAGGTTATGGGGTTTGGTTTTATTTATGGGGTATTTGGTTTTATTTAAAGACAGGGATGAAGGGCATGGGGGGAGTACAACAGCTGTTCTTCATCTGCCAAATCTATTTCTGAGGACTTGTCAGCCAGGGCGCTCTTCTTATATCGGTTGCTGTTTAATACAGGCTTGTGGGGCCACACTAACTTGGAGGATAGTGCAGAGAACAGCTATATGCATCGAAAGCCATGAAGAAGTAATTAAAAATTATTTGTCTGTGCAATACATGTAATAAAAAATGAGGTAGCTTTTGGTAGAAAAAGCTTTTGTGCAGTTCTTCCTACAGCAGCTCAAACCTTCCAGTTCATCTAGATTTTCTGAATATAGTAAGGAATAAAAGCAAGCTACTTTTCCATAAATCTTTTTTTTTTTTTTTTTTTTCAGGAAGCAGCTGTAGCTGTTGTTTGATATTCTCTGGCAAATGATTTAAAATACCTTAGCTCATGCTCTCATTCAAGCTTTATTGGTCTAATGGTTGTCTGGAGCAACAGTGGAAAGAGTATAGGTAAACAAGAGTGAAAAAGCACAGACTGATTTGATGCCTGTACCTGACTGAGTTATCTGTTTACAGTATCGACAGGCTGGACTGCAAAGAATCTCAGCCAGGTTTCTTGCATTTGGAAAGACACAATTACTTGGAAGAGCAAATTAAATATTCTGTTAAATTTTTTATTGAATTATAATAGATTAAGTCTTAGCAAATAAGAGCGATAATAAATTGTAAGATACGGCAATAATAGTAATTTATTGGTAATATTTACGGAAATTACTTGTGAAGTATTGTACTTTTTATTTTGTGCATGTGTAAGCTAATATCTGCTATACTCTTAGAGGGGGCCAGGGATGTGGTTTGTGATGATAATTATCTTTTATTGCCCTATCCAATATTGTTTTATAATACACTTGTTAGATCTCTTGAAGGTTTTTAAATGCAAGAACTGAATAAAAGGGAAGTCGTTTTAATGGTCAAGTGCCTGTTTCTTCACATGTTTTTTCTGTGATAGTGATCTGTGCCATATTTGTATGTTCCTTATGATACTGAAGTGCCCAAGAGAAGGATCAGAAATAAAATGTAGTTCATAGAGGTCTGTGGAGACCAATGGAGCTTCTTGCCTGTATCCTGTGGGCTACTGATAGGAGTGGATATCTATGCAATTAAAAATTCAGCTTCTCCCTGCCATTGCTTCCTATATAACCTCTGCTATTGCTGCAGTTCTTTTAGCTGAGGCACAAGTGAGAAGTTTTGTGATCAAAGAGGTGGGGTAAGTTGTAGATCTGGAAATACAATTGAGTCACTCTACAAAAGCTTGCTGTAAGCAATTTTCTTTTTAATATATGGTACTACATAGAAACTAGTTTCTGGCGCTGAGTGCAAGAGCTGGTAAAAATTTCCCCTGAAATGTTGTTATGGGAAAAAAAAAAACCCCAACATAAAATGCTCAAACAGAAAAGCCTGGTGATTTGTTGAACTTGAAACCTTCTGTTAGGATGCGCCCTTTCCACTGAAACTTTGTCTGCCTGGCTGATGTTTTGTTGCTTGGCTACCTGCTTGGTGGTTGCTGAGACCCCTGTGTTGTTTGCCTCGCAAGCTGGGAAGGGTTGTCCAGCTGCCTGCTGTCCTGCCTAGATGATTTTGTTTAGTAACCTTAAAAACTAGTCAACAAATAAAAGTTTGGGTCATTCGTTTGACGGCTTGTTTAATGGACACCGAGGAAGTTGGCAATCTTTGCTTCCCCTCTTGCCCACCTCCTGGAAGTCCAATTCACTTCACCCAGATGAAAAGTTTTAAAAATTGCGGTGAAAATTGTATCTTCTGACTGGGAAATTATGTTTCAGAGTGGTGAATTGAATATGGGAGCTGGAATTTCCAGCTCGCCTCTTTCATTTGCTGTGCTTTGAGGAAATGCAGAACTGAAGTCGGTTTGCAGTTAACGGCTGGCTTTCTTTGCAGAACTGTTAGAGAAAAGGCATCGTTGGCTGCGTGAGTTTCTGCTTGATTTTAATTGAAGAGAACGTTTACCTTTCCCACTGGTAATTGACTGAAAGAAGAATTAAACCCAATGTCTAGTATTCCCCATTCAGTTCTTGAAGACTAATGAACAGTTTTATTGCCCGTGCTGATTGAATGGAAACATACTGACCGGTAATAATACAATGTTATTTTATTGGCACTAAAATGCATTTCTTTATTTTTTCAGTGGTGTAATAAAACCTGATTTGCTGACTGCATAATACCAAGTGCTTAAAAATCTCTCTGGTTATCAGGCAGCTGGCTCTGTTTGTCAGGTGGTATTGCTTAATTCCATACTGTAGGTTAAATCCTAGTTTATGTTGAACCTGGAACACGAATTAACTTGTTTGTACAAGAACTTTGAATTAGCCAGGAACTATTAAGGAAACATGAAGCGTGTGGTGAGTCTTGACTACTGTGAAACTTCTAGACCTTTAATTTTAGAGCTTTTTTGTTTCTTACCAGATAAACTTATTTTGAATCCTTTGCCCACTTACAAGCTATAGAAGCAGTTGTGAAGAAAAACTAGTTTTGTTGTAGAGAACAGGCTGTGTAAAACCTCTTGAAATCATCATCATAACAAGCTGTGGTTTGTCTGTCATTCCAGCTGTACCTTGAATAAAAGCATGTAGATGATAAGCAAAACAAGGCAAAAACTGATCACAGGAAGGTGCCTCTGCTTTATGTTACTGTGCAAAAACTTTGTTTGCATAGAATATTAAAATAATTTCAAGAAAATGTTCTAATAAAGATGACGTTTACAAAAATGCAACTGTTTTGGAAAGTAATTTGTCCTATTGTAGCCAAGAATTTTTAAAATTAACTGAAATGTAAAACAAAAATTGTATTTTAAGAATTACTATTTCCCGTTACCTGGAGACAGAGCATGTTTTCCTTCTGCTATGGCAACGAGAACATGTGAAGTACAGTACCCCAATAACTTGGAGTTCTGCCACCAAATAGATGAAGAACTACAAGCCCAGTAAGAGGGTGATGTCTTCCTCACTGTTTGCAGCTTTCAGCCTGAATCTTAAAATAATTTTGACTGCCTCCCCACAGCTCTGACCCACCCAGCCAATGTAAAGTGGCTTTAAGATGTATAAAGGCCCGCAATACATGCCAAATCCAGCACTGAGAGTGATTGCTGCTTTAGGAAGAGAGAGTTGTCAGCAGCAGTAAAGGAATGCTTCTGTGCTTTGAAAATGCTTTGGTTCTGTTGCTCAGGTTTCCTGTCCAATCCTTTAATTCATTTCTTGGGTGTCTCATCTCCTGACATGAATCAGCTCCTATTTTCTTTGTTTTGAGACTTTTCACATTTGTTTTAGTTCATTTCACAAGTCCTCATTAAGTACTCCTTTGCCTCTGAGGTTGTTTGGTTGGGTTTTAATTGTGTTTTGAAGTTGCAGGCGTGTATTTTGCATTGATTTGTAGCTGTTGCTTCTCTTGTTGAACACCTGTGTTAGATTTGGGATGGCTGACCTGTGTCTGTAAAGATAATTTTGTTTCTAAGCTAGGTGTTTAAGGGGCTGAGAGATGAAAGAGGATGATAACAGAGTCAATTCCCTGTTGTCTTTGGTAGTAGGTGTCTGGGAAAAATCCCTCAGGTGAGTGACACGATGGTAAACTGAGTACAGCCAACCCTTGTAGAGCCAAGGCAAGTTTGATGCCAGTGTGCAGGGCCTCACCATGACGGCCTTCCTCTTCATCAGGCTGCATGGCCGCTTGGAGCCTGCTGCTCTTCACCTGCCCAAACAAGCTGGTATTGCAAGTGCCAGGGCGGGGGGGAATGGGGTATTGCTGCCTTGGGGTGGGAGATGTGGAATGCGAGGCTGGGAGAGGGGTTGCTGTCAGGAAGGGAAAAAGGTGAGGATGCAGAGCTAAGCAAAGATAGGCAAAACAGGGTTTGTTAGGCGAGTTGCAGCGCTGTGTGAACACAACTGTACCGCTTCAGAGACAGGGCAATTCCCAAACTCTCCTGAAGGTTCAG